AAGCGACTAGCTGGGTTTCCTGCTGGTAGACCTATCTTTTTGCAGGCGACCGCAGGAAGGCAGGTTGCTGGACACAGGATTTCCAGAAGCAGGCAGGGAATCAGGGGCTGGCACATCAGGCTGGGCAACGAGCAGAGGCACATCAGGCTGGGCAGCGAGCAGAGGCACATCAGGCTGGGCAGCAGGCACCGGTTCAGCAGGCACCAGGTCATCTGGTCAGGCAGCGGGCACCAGGTCATCGGGCTGGGCAGCAAGCACCGGGTCATCGGGCTGGGCAGCGGGCACCGGGTCATCAGGCTGGGCAGCGGGCACCGGGTCATCAGGCTGGGCAGCGGGCACTGGGTCATCGGGCTGGGCAGCAGGCACAGGGTCATTAGGCTGGATAACGGGCATCAGGTCATCAGGCCGGATAGGATTATCAGGGCTGGGTAGCGGGCACAGGATATTCAGGCCGGATAGGATTATCAGGTTGGGTAGGATCATCAGGCTGGATAGCGGGCACTGGGTCATCAGGCATCAGGCTGAACAGCGGGCACCAAGGCATCAGGCTGGACAATAGGCATCAGGTCATCTGGCGGGATAACAGAAGGCAGGTTCTCAGACGGCAGGCTGACCGGTTTGGATACTGGCAGGATGGTACTGGTTGGAAAGAATTTTCACTTCTTCTTGGGTTTAGCTACTGAAGCACTGTAAGTACATGCAGGTCTGTAAACGGAGGGAGCAGCTGGAGACAGAGAAGAGCTGGAGGATGGAACAGAGGAAGGAGCAGTTGCTACAGAGGACTACTTTACAGGGTAAAAGGCAGGAGAGGTGCAGCGAGTGGGAGCAGGGGACTGACGTGGTAGATAGCAGGGTATACTGGGCTGTCACTGGGGGTGCTGTCGGGAATGCAGGAAGAGAGCTTGGAGAAGATGAATGATTAGAAGCAGGACGGGTTTGCTGCAAGCCGACTGAGGTTGGATGTAACAAGTCTGACCATGTCTGCAGTATGGGTTGAACAAAACTCAGCTTACACAAAGCCTGTCTGACCAAAGACTGCACTGCGTTTATACACTCCACAAGCACATGTGATGGACAAGCTGAATAATGCTCCAAGAAACAATCCGGATCATCCTCCAACAGCCATACCAGTGACTCTACCTGATCCGTACTGAATGGTGGCAAAAGGTCATTCCTGCTTTCAGCGGTACTGGTCAGAGCCAACTCAGCTCAAGCCTGGATCAATGGCTGCACCTCAGAAAACTCCGTGCCCCGATCTACTAGGGAATGAGCGACCCGCATGCACTCTAGCAGCTGATCCCTGGTATACTTCTTCAGAATCTGATAGCCGTATACTCTGTCTTCTATCACTGTAGAGGTGCAGCATCACCCTAGTCTGGGCTTACATAAGAATAATGGTGTTCCATCGTCATCCTTCATTGTCCCCTTAAGGTTTGAAAGACATCCAGTGTCATTTATTCTACATCTCATGAGCCCAGGGTGTCGTGGACAAACCCTCTGGAGGTGCATCATCACCCTGCCCTGGGCTCACAGAAGAATGATGGTGCTCCATCATCATCATCATCCTCCATCATCCACCACTGGTCCCCTTCAGGATTGATTGACACCCAGTGTCATTCAGCCTACTTCCCATGAGCCCAGGGTGTCATGGGCACACCCCCTAGAGGCGTGTCATTACCCTGGCCTGGGCTCACAGAAGAACAATGGTGCTCCATTGTCCTCCTGCATCATCTACCACGGGTCCTCTTCTGGACTGAATGATGCCCAGCGTCATTCAGCCTACTTCCCATGAGCCCAGGGTGTCATGGACACACCCCCTAGAGGTGTGTCATCACCGTGGCCTGGGCTCACAGAAGAGCAATGGTGTCCCACTATCCTCCTGCATCATCTACCACGGGTCCTCTTCCAGACTGAATGACTTCCAGAGCATTTTTTATACGTTTTGACGCATTCCAGTGCGGTTTTTTATGCATTCCACTTCATTTCCTCCTCTCTCTTTTTTCTTCAATGTAAATAGGGACGTGTGTGTTCCGGTGCGTTTTTGATGCATTTTTTACACTTCTGGAGCATTTTCAATGCGTTTTTGACGCATTCTGGTGTGTTTTTTTCCCTCTTTTTTTTCTTCAATTTAAATAGGGACATGTGCATTCCAGAGTGTTTTCGATGTGTTTTGACACATTCTAATGCTTTTTTCATGCATTGCAGTTCATTTCCCCCTCTCTCTTTCTTCAATTCAAATAGGAAAATGTGTGTTCTGGTGCCTTTTTGGTCCCTTTTTTTACACTTCTGGTGCGTTTTCGATGCATTTTGACGCATTTCAGTGCGTTTTTTTTATGCATTCCATTTCATTTCCCCCCTCTTTTTCTTTAATTGTAAATAGGGACACGTGTGCTTCGGTGCATTTTCTATGCATTTTTTTTACACTTCCAGAGCGTTTTTGATGCGCTTTGATGCTTTCCAATGTGTTTTTTATGCGTTCCGGTTCATTTTTTCCCCTCTC